TGGATATCATGGACCTGGGATGGATATCATGGACCTGAGATGGATATCATGGATCCGAGATGGATATCATGGACCTGAGATGGATATCATGGACCCGAGATGAATATCATGGACCCGAGATGGGTATCATGGACCCGAGATGGATATCATGGACCCGAGATGAATATCATGGACCCGAGATGGATATCATGGACCCGAGATGGATATCATGGACCCGAGATGGATATCATGGACCCGAGATGGGTATCATGGATCCGAGATGGATATCATGGACCTGGGATGGATATCATGGACCCGAGATGGATATCATGGACCTGGGATGGATATCATGGACCCGAGATGAATACCATGGAAATCCTCGGACAGACACATGTGAATGCAGCGTTCCCGTAAATTTCATCAAGGGATTCAACAACTCCGGACATTGAATTGTTCTTCCTCATCACCAAAAAAGAAAATCTTATTAACCTATGAACTCTGGATGGAAGAAAAGACAGACTGCCAAAATCTTGGCCTCAGGCAGAATTTTCCCTATAATTTTCCATCCTGCTTGTGCCAGGATGGAGGTGTGGGCATAGAGGAAAACCTCTGCTGAGGTCGACTCCTTGTCACACACCCAGGGTCAATTCCCGGGTTCAGCACTGTGTTTTCCGTGGCTGGCTAGATAGAATTTGACCACTACTAAAACTATTCTGAATACTAAAACTAGTCTGAATAAATTTCCATTTATAACACTATGAAGAAATGTAACTTTTAACTCGTGAGGGTCCGTTCACAGCTGCTGTCCCTGATCCTGGAGCTGCTACCATTGCCATGTTTAACAGCCCTAGCTTCTTACTCCTTCCTTCAATCATCTGAGACACTTTCAACCAGTCTTTGTTCACTATATGTATGTGAAAAATGCATATTTTATTGCATATGATTGGCTTTTCACAAATATTAAAATGAATACTCTATGTGTAATGTTAGAAAATTATGCTGTATTTATTTTCTTAAGTAGCATGTTAAATATATTTCTAGGTTATAGCACAATGTTAAAATAGAAACTATGCTATTTAAAATACTTTTTAACCAGCTAAAGAAAGAGATGAGATAATCAAGAAATTGTTTGCACAGAGATAACAGCAAAAGGGCACATAAAGAGTTACCCCCTCCTTATCAGAAAAGACATTCTTCCACCTTCTCTCCATCTTTATGGAACCACCAGGATTAAGGGGAAGAAGTTGACAAAAACTGGGAACGTTCTTAATTTGCAAGGAATTTATGCATCATGTATGAAATATATGAATATGTAACAGGCTACTGCTTTTAAGGTTATTCCTTTGTTCACAAGGCTTGTTTTTGGCAGCTTAGTGTCCAAAAACATCCAGACATCTGTAATTCTTTGCTTTTTATTGTCTTGTAATTGTCCTGACTCTACATTTTTATTACTCTTATTGTATTACTATTTTTATAACCATTTTATTATTATTAAACTTTTAAAAATTCTAAAAACAAATGATTGGCATTTCTCACAATTTATTTAATACATTTTTTGTTCATTAATATAAGCTCAGGCCTTCTTTCAAATGAACTTTTTGTATATTCATCTTCTACTACCTGAGTACCACTTTACACACCAAACTGACAGGGAGTTTTGTTACTTAGGCAACTGTAACACAACAGCACTTTCACGACCAATACGAATTAATGGAATTCTTAATAAAAAGTTAATCAAGTAAGTCAGCTGAGTTGCTGGGCTTGTTTTCAGATCTATATACAGTACTAAGCCTTTATTTGTGCAACATAACTGCTTCAAGGAGTATATTTTCAGGAGCAAGACCTAAAAATGTGTCTGGTTGGTCTCCAAAGCCCAAGATGTTTAGTTGGGGTTTTCATGTCCCAATGCAGGATGGTGGGAACAAAGAGGATGGGTTGGGTGCACCAAAGGATGCCCTGGAACAGCTTGTGACTGCATATAGTGCACCACATCACAATGCTCTGTTTCAGAGCTGTACTCCTAAGCCTTTAATTTCCTCCTAGCACTACATATCTTGGATAAATGCTTGTGTGGCCACAGAAGATGCAATTAGAGTTGCTATTTGACAAGAGCCAGAAAGAGCAAGAACTGCCATGGTCGTTGCTCAGTTTTCCTCCTAATTGCATGGTCACTGTTCCCAGCTCCACCCAGCAGCAAACCCAACCATACCTGAAGCTCTGTAAGTGCCTCAGCCAGCATGCCAAAGAAGATTTTAATGCCTCTTGTAATTGCACAGGCCAATAGTGTGCTGAGCACTGACTTTGTGCCAATTGCACAGTGGCCTGTGGTAGGGATGGGACAGAAGGGTGCTCCTCCAGAATGAGGAATCGGTGGAGGCGCAGGGGAGGTCTGGGCAATACCCAGTGCTGAGTTTTCTTGCATATTCAGAGCTGAACCAGCCATTGTCCGACTCAGTGGTTTCACAGCTTGCCCAAGTGATCTGGGACCACGCTTCCTTCCAAGGGCACACACCTTTTTTCCCTTCCGCCTTCCATTTCGCTCTGAATAAGGAATGCTGATAAGGTGATGCATGACTTATGTCAACCTATTAAACCAAATTACCATGTTATTAGTTTGGGGTTTTTTGGGGCTTTCAGTTCCACAAATCACTGCAAGCAACAGGTAAGGCCAAAATAAAGGAAGGGATGGTGAACTTCACTATTTTATTCCTAAAATATTAATACAGTAGCCAGGTACACCATAATATTTCTGCTTTTGGAGTTAAAAAGCTATTTCCAATACAGTGTATACATAAACCAAAAAATAATAAAATACCTAGAAAGCTGTGGGTAAAGGTAGCAAGCCTCACCAAAATTGCTGGCAGTAAATATACTTAGTATATTCAGTGGAAAAGGGTTCTTTCTTTGTGCTAAAGGAGAACAGGTAGTTTGTATCTCTTATAAAGTCTTCCTTTCCATTGTTTGTCCTTTTCCAAACCATGCAACTGACTTTTAGGCCTTCACATTTATTTAAAAAAAAAAAAAAAAAAAACACAGAAAATTAGTGGGACTGGAGGACAAGATTTCAAAGACATCTCAGTGCCTATTGTTGTCTCAGGTAGATACCCCAAGGCTGTTTGAAAGAAATCCTGGGATTCCAACTTTAAAAATTCCACTTAAAGGATTATCTAAAACTTTTGGCACGGAAGCATCTGTGAAAATATAACCTGAGTTTTTTGCGAGAGGCAGCGGAATTGATGTCCACATACTCCACCAAGAAACTCATGGTTTGATGCTGGCCAAATGCCAAGCACCCACAAAAAATTGCTCACTTGCCCTCCCCTGCCACAGCTGGACAGAGGAAATAAAAAATTTAATGAAGGCTTCACGAGTTAAGGACCAGAAGAAAATACTCCAAGGGCAAAACAGCCTCAACTTAGAGGTACAAAGTGGATTATTATTAACAAAATCAGAGCAGGATAATGAGAAGTAAAATAAGCCCTTAAAACACCTTTTCTTCCTTCCCCCAGCCCCTCCCTCCTTCCCACCAACAGTACAGGGAGACAGGGCATGATGGTTTTGGTCAATTCATCACCAAGATTTTCCTCTGCTGCTCAGGGAGAGGAGTCCTTTCCCTGTGAGGCTGTGGGGTCCCTCCCACAGGAGACAGCTCCCAGTGAACTTCTGCAGTGCTCTCACAAGCAGCAGCCAAACCACCCCTGCTGCAGCCTGGATTCCCCCACAGGCACACACTGCTCCCAAAGCTGCTGTGCCAGGCTCACTCTGCCACGGCTGCAGCCTCCAGGGCCAGGCTGCTCCAGCCTGGGAGCAGGGCCCCTCTCCCACCGCTCTGCCATGGATCACAGCCTGCTCCAGGCACCCCTGCTCTGGCATGGGCACCTCCCAGGGGCTGGGGGTGATCTCTGCATCCCCATGGATCTCTGCATCCCCATGGATCCCCAGGGGCTGGGGGTGATCTCTGCATCCCCAGGGATCCCCATGGGCTGGGGGTGATCTCTGCATCCCCATGGATCCCCAGGGGCTGGGGGTGATCTCTGCATCCCCATGGATCCCCAGGGGCTGGGGGTGATCTCTGTATCCCCAGGGATCCCCAGGGGCTGGGGGTGATCTCTGCATCCCCAGGGATCCCCAGGGGCTGGGGTTGGATCTCTGCATCTCCTGTGGATCCCATGGGCTGCAGGGACACAGCTTCTTCCCTGTGGTC